ACCCATTCCGAAGGTCAACCACCCTGTTAGAAAAATGAAACTGTCTTAGCTGAACATGACTCCTACCTTGCCAAACTTTATATTTGTGGCCCCTAGTCCTACTATTCACATTGTTAAATATAAAAAAAGATGATGCATCAACACTATCAATTCCCTTTACAATCTTAAACACCTCAGTCAGATCCCCCCCTAACTCAGCAACATTTGAAGATCTGTTGTTGCTTATTTTGAATTACATTTATTAAAAGAAAATCATAAATAATTTGTTGTAATAAATAATTACATGTATTAAAACCTATATGTGAATGTGTTGCCTATTACAGCTATTATAGAATGATGCAAGTATTATAAGAGATCTCAATGTTTGAAATATTGTTTCATTGCAACAAAGTGATTATCTTTGATAGAGCTAGGAAAGAACCATTTATTGGTCAAACATCATTGTTTGAGGAATTAATATCACTGTTCAAGCCAGTTTTTCAATCTACAGGTGTAGTCTAATCTAAGCTTCATGAAGGATAACAATGGCTGTAAAACTGATGAAAAGCTAAAATGGAATTTTGATAAGTCTCACGCATATAACAAGGGTTACAAGTAAATTGCAAGCTTGAAGCTAAACTGAAAAATATTAAATCAAGTTATACTGAAGTTAAGTCAGTGTTATTTTTCTATGGCTTATAAAATGAGTTGCCACTGACAGTAGTGGAGATCAGCACAGCAATAATTATGAGAATTTAAGAGGGAATATTAATAATTTTCTGAAAAATAGAGGGTGGATTTAATTTATAGATTTTTTAGGTCAGTGTGCAAGGACAGACTTGAAGGATCAAATTCACCATTGCTGTCAGATTAGCAAATTGTAATTTTCATCATTTTGATAGATTACAATATAAGCCTTTTGTCATTTACTCTTATAATGTTGTTTCAACAAACTGTTTCGATAAACAAAAAGTCAACCATATACTTACTTGTAAAATTTTGATCTCTTTTGCAAGCAAGTTCTGAGATTTTGCAATATTCTTTTTTGTGATACTCTTAATAGCCACAGTGAGGTCCTTTTTCTGTAAAAATAGGTTTAAAAAATCATTAACTTTTCCAAGAACTATATGGACAGACTAAAATCATGCACACATATCTACTATATTATAAGCCCAAAATTGCAAGACAAAAAAACAATACTTGTGTTCACATTTTAGTAGAAGCAGTGCTTATATCTAAATGTACAATGCATCAGTTTCAGTCTTATCAGAGCAGTTTGGCTATTTAAAATTTTAAGGTATTAGAAAAACCAAGCTTTATTAAACTAGATTTACTCTTAAGTTCTTATGAAAGAAAATACTATTATGTATACACATAAATGTAATACATGTATTAAGTTCATTTAACACTAAATGTAATCCATCATGGTGATGAAAGAAATGTAAAAGGCATGTCTACTCACCAAGACAAATATGATAAATAGACAAGACAGACAAACACAAACAATTACATGTATATGAAATGTTAGATGACATAACTAGTAGAACTCGTATATCTGGGCTCTACTCAAGGCTCATCTTGATGCTTCATGACTGCAGCAAGTTCCATACATCCAATACCTTTGATTTTGTATGCAAAGATAATTACCTAATAGCTCAGGAATAATATTTAACTTACATTATAAAATGCCATTAATTTCTTCAGTAAACAAGAAACAAACTTGCATTACATTTCTCTATGTCACAACTGTCTACTGCATAACAGAATTGCATTACATTTTTGTATGTAATGAATGTCTACTGTATGTATGTGGCATAACTTTCCATATCATTTCTGTTACGATTGCCTACAGTATATGCATAACAAAGTTGCATTACATTTTTACATGTTATGACCGTCTACTGTACATCACATAAATAATGTTGTATTGCATTTCTGTATGCTATGACTATCAACACTATGACATATAACAAGGTGCATTACATTTCTGTGTGATAAAATGGTATGTGTCACACAGTAACGTTGCATTACATTTCTCTATGTCATTACTGTCTAAAGTATGTAGCATAACATGGTAGCATTACATATCTCTATGTCATTACTGTCTAACATATGTGGCATAACATGGTAGCATTAGTTCATATTCTGGTCATATTCTTTTGTATTTCATTCTTCTTAATTATTTTTAATCTCATAACAATTACTTGTTATTTACTGGGTAAATCGTGAAAAAGCAAAACAAGGAACACGAATCTACACACAAGTATATAGATTGTGTCATGCCATGATTGTTCCACTATTCTAAATGAATACTGAGTGAGATGTAATTAGACTGGCCCTTATTTTGAAGTTTTGATTTACAACACTCCCCCCCCCCCTCCATATTTTGTTCCAATATATATAAGTAATTCACACCAACTTTTATCCATATTGAATAACATTTATGGCTTGCTCAAGATAGTTTAAATTTTACCTTGTACCATGCATTATATCTGCATATTCTAGAATATTCCAGAATATTCTAAATAATTATGGAAGGTTCTAGATTATTATGGAATGTTCTAACACACTCTGAAATATTGTAGCATGTTCTAGAATATTCTAGAGTGTTTCACATTATTCACAATATTCAAGAACGTTCTATTTATAAATAATCCATGCTGTTACTTTTTACTTCTGGAATATACTGTATGATATGGAAGTAGTTTCTAGAATTTCTGTGTGTATATATAAGCACTTAAGCATATTCTTCTTTAACATTTTGACTGACACTGTATCGACGTATCATTGCAAATGGATACTACAAAAACAAGCAAGACTACGCTTTGGCTGCTTGTTTCAGAAGAAACTGAACTAACAGGAAGCAAATTACTTTCAAATAGACAAGTGCTGTGAGTGTGTGTATGTGTGTGTTTTTCTACCATTACAAAACATTAAAGAAGACAGTTCATGAAAGCTCAAAGATTGTGATCAAGTAAGCTGCAGCTTTTTGGAACAAGGCTCAAACTCCAATTCATCCAGAACATCATGCCATTATCAAATTGGAGAAGCTTTTTCAAAAATGGGCAAACCTAAAGAAATATTCAAAAATGAAAACTGAAACAGTTTGTCAATAATCTGGATGACATTTTTGACATCACTCATATGAATGCACTGACTCAGAAGATCCCAGAAGTACCTTCTTCTTGATTAGAGAGAAAGAAGATACCGTGGGTGGATGGATTAGGTTGATAAGGTTCTTTCTTAAACTCTTTCAACCCGGGCTCAATCCCTGGGACCGACCTCGTAACCATTTTGTGCTTGTTATAGTTTTCATGCTATAACTTTTAAATGTATGTTCACAAAATTGGGCAGATTATCAGTAAACATTACAAGGCTTTCATATGCAAAATATAAATTTTTTTTTTATTAAGTCTTAAGGTTTGTTAAGCAATGTTTTTCTCATACATTTTTTTTTCTCATGTTGCCTATCCAACATGCAAATTAATTTTCATTTTAAGATTAATAATACTTTTATGCATCATAAAATTTTCAAATTTCACATGCAAAATCTTTATTAATGTCCAGATAGTTATCAAACATTTCTTAAGAAAAATACTTTATATTTTATCTGTTATTTTCACTAACGAATCTCTGTACTGATTTGACCAATCCTGTAACCACTATAAAATAATTAGGAAATAAATATGAATTATGCCTTTTTCATTCTAGAATGACTACAGATTATAACACAAACACAAATGTTTAGACTAAATAGCTTAAATCTCATAACGTTATACATTTATAAATATTTATTATTTTTATTATATTGACCTTTCAGCTGTACCTGGCTAACGTTACAGATGTTGCAAGGATGTGACACACGTGCACTCATGTTACTGTATCCAATAATATAAAACTGACCTTTAGTCTTTACAAAGTAACCTGTCTTGGTTGTGTTTTATATGCAATTGCACTAGAAGAATGACAGGGGATAAAACGTGGTGGAGAGTCCAGAAGAGTACAAACACTGGAGACAGTGCAACGGATGATCATGAAAAAAACCTATTTTGAAAAGCAGACCGCCCCAGATTTATTCAATCAAAGGGACGGCAGGGATGGGCAGCTATCCCCTTCTGCTTTGTTAGTACGGTCTGGAATGGGCATATTAATAAATCAAGTATATCACAAGGGAAAACCTACTGGCAATCTTGTGAAATACCTCATCTCAACAGTGTGCATTACTGGCCATGAGTATATTGTATTTTATGATTTCATTATGGCCGTACAGTGCAGATTTGAGACATATTAAGTATAACTGGACAGGCAATGCTCACCACAGAGCAGGATCCTTAAAGAAAAAAAAGGGATATGTCACTGAAAGAAATCAATATTTATATAAAATGATAACATAACCAGTCACAGCCTCACCAAAGTTTGAAGGATGGCAACAGGTGGAAGACAGTACACTCCAACCAGGAATAAACAGCTACACGATGAAGATAGTGGGAGAGGAACATGCCCAACTGAAGTCTTTCCTCCAGTGGACAACAGAGATGAGATGCCAAGGAAAAGGTAAGGTGCCTGATTTGATGCGACAGCACCTGGAAGACAGTTTGGAAAGAAAGAGACAAGGATGAATAAGCCAACTGAATCAAAAGCTAAACCCAACTGGTAAGGGTGGGAGGAGAAAAGTAACAAACAGAGGAATGTTGCCAGGGATAAAAAGGCAGGAACCGTGGAAGGAAATCATGCAAGCAATATAACAATGAAAAATATGTACAAGACATAGAAGTCTATCTGGATCAGACCGAGAATAATAGTACTCACCTAAGTTTTGGGGAGGAAAGATCTATACCTATAAAGGGGAACATAGATATAATGGTTCAGAGTGCGTGAAACGTTGATGGCAAATATACAGACCAAAAATGCCCACAGGCTAACAGGAGTAGGTAAGATGAGGACAAAGGTTCAAACGGAGGTACAGTAAGGCAGTAAATAACCACACTGACATCCCAGTCTGGAAGGACTGCCCAACAAGGAGGTCTACAAACCCAGAAGGAATGCAACAAAAGGGAGTGAGTAAGGAAGGTTAACACTAAATGGTACAGGGAAAAATGGAAGGTGTGGAATAAGGCTGTTCAATATCCATGAAGACCATAATCCTATGATCAAACTGCCAAGTGAGGAAATTCATAATATGAGGAAAAGTGGGTGGAGAAGGGGAAAAATCCTAACTCAAAGACCAACAGCAGAAGATGTTCCATTTACATTGTTAGACAACCAATGAGGAAGGATGATTAGAACATGCTAAAAAGGAAGCATCAAGATTTCCTTGTCAAGGAACTGATAAATGCCAGGCATGAAAATGGAGGGTAGAAAGGTGTGATGAATTACCAGTGAATGAAGTTGACCTAAAAGGGATGGAGTGAGAGGAAGATTCAAGGGAAAGGCAGTTTGGAGCCAAAGTAGACAAGAAAACCATGGTTGTGTTGGCCAGTAAGAAGCATTCAGAAGGACCTGACACAGAGTGGCATGAAAGATTGAAATCACCTGGGTAAGAAGTTGGATGAAAGGATAAACATAAAAGTACTATTTGGTCCAATCCTGGCTGAGTGCATAGATAGCCAGGGCATGTGGAATGAGGAACTGGAGACCAAAAAAAAGGTAATTTGGTATTGAGGAAAGTGGCAAATGTATGCAGCTAAGGAGTACCCTCACTTGGAGCATAGCCATTAGCAAACCTGATGATTGAGAAACCACTCCATAGAAGAAATTTTATTCAGTCTGGATAGGCGGCCCACCACAAGGTGAAAAACACCTGAAATATAACATGCAAAAAAATGTATCCCAGGCATGTGGACCCCAAAAACAAGATTCAAGGTTTAACCTTTAAAAGGAATGAGAATGGGTGCCCTCTTGGTGACTGATATAAGCCACTACCTTAGAATTCTCAGAATGGATCATGACAAGTCAATTCCTTACAAGAAGAAGAAAGTGATCCAAATCATGTTGTACTGCCAAAAGTCCAAGATGTTGAGATAGTAATACCTGTCAGCTGTAGACCATTGTCCAGAAGCCTCCTGTTGATCAACCCATACCC